CAGGGCACCCTCTTTTGAGACACACCATTTTTGCTCACGTGCGTACACATTCTATGTGTATACGAGGGCCAAAGTAGAAAAATCAAATTGTCCTCTGCTCACGCAAGTAGAAAGCAGCCGTGCGCATGAAAGTACCTGGGGCGAGCTTCATGCTACGTGCTCGCTGCTCGGAAGACGCCTTCCGCTTGAGCAACCTCGCTGCAAGGCAGTCCACCCCACCAAACTGGCAGGAGCTACGATTGAATCTTCAAGTGGGTCGTGTCTTTTACTGAGGGACCACCCAAAAAGGGGTGGTATGTACAGGTAAACCAAAAAAGACAACCACACAAAACTGGGGGTACCTAATTTTCAGACATACCCCAGAGTATCTTGTACTCACTTCCAAACGAGTAGATGAACAGCAAGTTTAGAAAGAAAGAAGGGGGAAAAGTGTAAGAACCTTTCTGAGAGCCTAACTATTCATGTATCTGAACAAAAAAACGAGTGCTTTACAGCTTTTCTATCCGCCTCCTTAACGCATGGAACCCAACGGGGTGCTCCATTTCCCGGGAGATTTCTCCAATAGCAGTCTTTAGGGCAACATGTTAATCTGCAGGAGAGCCAAAACCAGTAGAAGTGGCGGTCGCGAAGCAGGAAACATCCGCATGGAGAGGTGAAATCGCCATCTATTGTTCGACCAAAACAACCAAAAAGGCCACCTAGCTCAATGCGAAAGCGGCTGGTACAGGTCATTGGGGAAGCAAAGGGGATGACTAAACCAACATGAGGGAAATGCCATCGACTGAATCTACTTGGCTAACATAGACTAACATGGGTGGTGCACCTACCCCAAAATGGTACCATTGGTTTTGGCCCGCAGCCACTTGTTATGCAATTGTAATCTGGGTTGCGGACCCTCTGCGAGTTCCACTGTTTGATGTGGTCGGAAACCGGCATGCTCCAATATCTTCACGGGCCAAGCCCCGTCAATCTTGCGCCTTGGTTATGGCTGATTGCAATGGACTTGTGCATCTTTGTCAAAGCATTACTCACCAAAACGAAGCTTTACATTGGCAGCCAGAAGGTGATAAATCACAACCAAGAGGGGAAGCTAAGAGAACCCTATTGTTGGCAGAGGACGTGAGATCTTTGCTGCTGATTCTGGCTTTCGTTGGATTCTGGCAAGCAACCCTCGCAACAAAGAGTGCTCCGCTTGTTGGCAATCTGGTGACATGATCCGTCTCCAATATTGAATATGTGGCATGCTGAGGTTGATTTTGTTGATAATTGGTGTCTGTGGCATCTTCACATTCACCTTCATATTCGCGAGGTTGACTCACATGCGCCATGGCCGAAGCTGCTTCTGTGAGAAATATGGAAAAAGGTGATTTGCTTTCGGTAGTTGTCTCACTTCCCTTTATTGCCTGGCCCAAGAAAGGAAAACAAGACTTGGTTGCTTGTCACTAGAATCAGGGGGTGCACCAACCACGCTTCACACATGCTTTCCATACCATGAAAGAATTTGCTCCTACCACGACTCGAAAGAAAATCTTCTCCACTGGAAGGGTCTTCCCAAGTCGAAAGTCCAGGAACTTGGGGACTGAGTTGGTGTGTTCCCAACCGCTGATTCAGCCATGGGTCGACAGGCCCGAAATCAAAAATCGGCTCGTTTTCGTTTTCGGTGGTTGCGGGCAGCTTTGAGGAGCTTTTTCCCCCCAGAAACGCTGAGGCAAAAGTTGAAGCAAGCGCCGGGGTCGGTCTGGGACGGTTTTGCGAACTCAGGGTCAAGATGGTGGGGTCATGACCACTTTGGTGTTTGTTTAAGGCTCGGAAGTTTCCATGTGCTGAAGTCCCCCGGGAAAAATAACAATCTGTCCAGTGATAGATGGGAAAAAGCTTGTTCAGCAAGTGGAAGGAAGGAGACTCCAGGTAACTGGACCCTCATGCCCGTAACAAACATAGGGGTGATTGCCACCCCAAGTATGGGTTGCTTTCCATGGTTCAAGGCTGAGGGTCCAGGTACCCTCTCAATTTTCGCTTCGAGCCTGGCTTTCGGCCCCCGGGTCCCTTTTAAAGGCTGAATGGTCTTCCACCAGGACCCGAAGGTCCGAAGGTCGAACGGCTCCACGGTGAAAATCTAGGCGTGCCTTCCATTTCCCCATTCTTTTCGGGGATCCGAATCTTTCTAGAAAACATCAAACAAAACCTGGGAGAAACAGCCGGTTGTTGCAAAAAACGATGGCTGAAAAGCATGCGGAATCAGCCCCTAGAGAAAAGGGAGGGTCGGTGTGTTTAAACTTCCACTTGCTTCTGTCCCCGGGAAAAAATGAAAAAACATGGTCCAGTAGTGACATGGATTCCCTTTTAAAGCCATCTTGGGAAAATAAAACATATTCCTTTCAGCAAATGGGAGTAAAGGGAACCCCTCCCAAACCATCGGGTGGGATCTCGGCGCCTCGGTGGCAAGGGAGAGCTTCGGACACTCCTCCTCCTCCTCCTCCTGGCACGATGCAGAGTCCGTGGGTGTGTCTTTGCTTGGGTGCTGTAGCGACCCCTCGGCCAAAAAAATAACACACCACGTTTGAAACTAAGCATTCCCACAATTGTTGCACGTTTTGTGGGTTCAATGGAAAACCGCTTGATTTCAACCAAACAGGTTGAAGTCTAAAGATCCAACTTCAATGGCAATCAAGTTACTGGGCTGTCCGCTTTCTGAGCCCCTTCATGTGACTAACCTTTCGGAGCTAAATACGGAAACCCCAGCTAAACAAAGAACTGGGGGCGGTTGGGAACCGCCAAAACAAAAAAGAGAACACCCGAGCTGCCCTATCTATTGGTCCAAAAAGTGCTGTTGAAGTGGCTGAAAAGGAAGGTGGGCTACCTTTGACCACTTGTGTGTTTGGTTGACGCTACAACTCTCTACCCGTTGACCAGCTACTAACAACTTTAGTTGCAGACATGGCTGTGGGTCAAAAATAGGCACCCAAGATGGCACCTTGGTAACTGGAAACAATGACTAAAACCTGTGCTCCACTTCCTGGTGGTTTAATTTTGACCCATACCCACATAAGCCCAGACCTACTAACAACTTTAGTTGCAACTTTAGTTGACCAGCTACTAGCTACCTACCCGTTGCCCAAGTCACTCTCTTCCAAGGTCAAACGTGAAACCAACAAAAAAGTCCAAGGTGAGGCCTGGCGTACAGCCATATTCTTGCTGACTAAAATTCGGGAGAAACAAAAAAAAAAAACGCGAGCCATGGCACGGTGATTCGCCAAAAAAAAAAAACGGAAGTCGAGTCCAAACGAGTCCAGAAGAGTAAAGTCTACCAAACACAAAACCTGCAAAGGTCTTCCGACGTACCGATCTCTCTTTGATCAGGTGTCCCCTCTTTGGTTGGTGTGAAAGGAAACTGAAAGGGAGCCCCCAACATTTAGGTCCCCCCCGATCTTGAGGCAACGCCACCTGCAAACCTTACTACTTTTTCCAAACGCTGAACTTAGGGATCCCCAGGTAAAGGACCTCAATGAGCTCGTTTTTCCCCGGAATCGGTAAGCATAGGCAGAGCTAAGGCCAGAGCAAACCTCCAGTGATCCATTTCGTCCTTTGAGCTGCACCGATCGTGTTGAAGCCCATACCAAAACTCGGCTCCCCGCTTCCTGACCCGCTACAAGTGAGTAACCTCCTGTTGGTGAAAGGCGGACACCCAAACCAACTAAAAGCCTCAGGAACCGGACGGCTGGTTCCAAAACGCCAAGCAGAATCTCCACTCACAAGGTTGAAAGGTCCCAAAACCCAAAACTTCCAGTTGATTCGTCCCAAAACACCCACCGGGCAAAAACCGCACCTGCACGTCGTTCCCCGACCAAGCCTCCGCGTCAAAAATGGCCGCCTAATGCTTCGCTTCCCTCTCGCTGGGAACAAACCGCCCCTTTGGCTCTCCCTTCTTCGCCGCCCGTCCCACACGTCCCACACGTCCCATGCCTCCGGCGACAAGCCGCAGAGCTGGCGCAAATGCAGCTGGGGTCCGTGCACCGCCTGAGGGACGGAGCGGGGCAGGGGGGTGCCCGAGGGGGGGAGGGGAGGTCCTTTGGGCCAGGCGGTTGCGGTTTCGCTGGTCGCCGTTTTGCGGAGAACGGGTGTTTTGTTGCCCAATGCGCAAGGGTAGGAAAGTGCTGCCTGCTTGCTCTGATGGAATTCTGCAGTTGCTGTTGACGCGGCTGCTGTTGCTGCCGCTGCTACCGCAGCTTGTTGCTGACGCAATTGTTGCTGAGGTTGCCGTTCGCGCTGCTTTTGTCTGATGGGCTGTCGTGCTTACTTACTGTGTCCGCTGATTGACGATGCTTGCTCGGCGATTGCTTGATGTTTTTACGCTTGCCGCTGCACCGTGTGCAGGAGCTGCAACGTTTTGCAACGCCGCCAACTGTGGTGGTGGACCTTTGCTGTTGCTGCTGCTGCTGCCGCCGCTGCTGCTGCCGCCGCTGCTGCTGCTGCCGCTGCTGCTGCTGCAAGGATCTGGAACCGGAAAACCCGAAAGAGGCTGTTCAGACACTGGTGGTCTGAATTCAACCCTAGTGTGTGGCATGTTTCTTCATATGATGTCATCTAGCCAAAAGTCGGAAGAGCAGCTAGCAACCTCAGGACGTCCCCTCAAGGCAGCAGCGGCAGACTTTCCGCAGTCGGAGATCATTTCAATGTGGAGAAGGTAATTACTGCACACTGTACAGTGTCTATGACAGGGTACGGTATAACTTAATCCATGAATCTGTACAGGGACTACGGACTACCTAGCGCCGCAAGAAGTTGGTGTCTTGCTCCAGCTTCATCGACTTAGCTCTGCTTTCTAGCCTCCAGGCAACCATGGAAGCTGCCAGGGGGAAGCCTTCCCCCCGATCCAGTTCCGTGATTCTTGGACAAAGTTGGCAACTGCCATTCAAGGAACTGGCTCGCACACTTTGTGAACCATGGCGAGAGCCATCCGCGACCTCCGCGAGAGACTCTCAGAGAGGGCTCGTCCATCGCTAGACCTGCGCCAGTCTCTTTTGGCTCATTCGACGAATTACCTGGGTCCGCTTTCAGACCCCCTGCTAAGAGTTGAACTTTTGGTGAGCTGAATGAAAACCAACAAAAAAGGCTAAGAAGCTAAGGGGATGGCTAGTTCTGAACTGCCAAGATATGCAGAATCTCCGCTCCACGCAAGGTTGAAAGGTCCCAAAAACAAAAAAACTTCCAGTTGAGTGTCTCAACATGCCTAAATGGTTAGCTTCCCTCTGGCAGACCAGTTACAAAAACAAAGACACACCATGGTGCAGAGTAATCTGAGATACCTTTGTGTCTCCAAATAGGGGCATCCCAAAACAGGTGTCCAATTGGGTTCCCCTTTGAACCGACCTCAAACGGGGCAGCCTCAAAACAAAAGTCACACGTGTCCTTTGCCTTCAATCAACTGCAAATGAGCAACCAATGGGTCGAGCAACCATCCACGCGCCGAGCGCATTTTTTTTTTTTTTGGGGGGGGGTCGAGGCGAGGGTATGTCCTAGGAAACCACATACATTGCAAAGCCAACAAAAGCAAAGGGCTGTGCCTTTTGTAGGGGTAGTCGCAAAAGAAGGGCGGCCTTCCTTTTGCTTGGCCTTGGGAGAAAAAAACGCCAGAAGCTGCAGCCTCACAAACAAGAACGCCCGAAGGTTCCCGCCGGGCTGTTGGCCCTTGTTTTCCATCCCGAACCCCACACCTTCCATTTGCTCAAGGTGCTGGAAAAAAGGGAAGACATGTGGCAATCCCAAATTCTCTAGTTGCTTAAGTTGGAAAAAGATGGACATGTGGCTTAGGAACATCGAAGCTTTAGGCTCATGGGTTAGTGGCATCCTCAAGCGAGCGCCCGTCAAAGAGCTGGGCTCCTCGAACTTCCAAATGCCCGCCTTTGGGAGTATTCTTGTTGAAAAGAACCTGGTTTTCCGGGTCGAGACCTCCTGTTGTAAAGGCTTCACATCATACCCTGGCAACAGTAGAGGGTAATCTCCCTCCTTTCGGAAGAGCTTTCTGAGGGGTTTGGCCAGTTTGTGGTTGAAAGCTGTGACTTTCCGGGAAGAAGAAAAAACACGATTTTCATCGAAGCAAAGAGCCACCGGACTCTCTTCCTAGTCGTCAATGTGTAGTGCACAACGAAGTTGAAGGTCGGCATCCACTCAACAACTGCATGATGTGAGTTGTTTTTTTCGCCAAGCCGCATCTCTGTTGCCTGGCTTTAAAACGCACTCCAAAAACAAAGCCAAGGTCGTCTCTTTCGAAGAAAGGGCATCCTCAAAACTCAACAAGCCCGGGTTTTCGGGCCCGCCGAAACCCTCCGGAGCCACCAAAATGGCAACCCGAGAAGTGACGAGAGGCCGAAGCGGAACTCGGGACATGGGCTCTCCGCTTTCAGATCCCCTATAAAAAGTTGAGCCTTGAGTGGGCTAGACGGAAACCCAACCACTCAACCAACTAAAAAGGCCAAAAGCCAAGGGGGACTGCTGGGAACCGCCAAGATATGCAGAATCTCCGCTCCACCCAAGGTTGAAAGGTCCCAAAAACAAAAAACACTTCCAGTTGAGTGTGTCTCAACAATTCCAATGAACTTGGGTGCTGTATGTAGATCCCCCAGCAAAAAGTTTAACTTTTTGCTGGTTCAAAGGAAATATGAGGGGAATCCAACAAGTTAAGGTCTAAAGATCCAACCTAAGTTAAATTAAAGTCCAAGTTGACTCAAAATAGGGGCATCCCAAAACAGGTGTCCTTTTGGTTCCCCTTTAAACCGACCTACATGACCTACATGGTGCAGTGTGTCTCAACATGTCCAATGAAGTCCAAAAACAAAAACGGTCACGGCGCCTCCACGTCGAACTGCCGCCGCCGCAGCGCCCGCACGCGCCGCACCTCGCCGGCCTTGCGCGCCCCCGGGCGCGCCGCCCGGGCGACCTCCGCCTTTTGGCGGCGGCGGTGGTGCGGCGCGTAGGTGAAGACGGCGTCCCCGGAGGAGGTCCTTGGCCGGCTTGGTTGACGTTGGTAAGGGAGCAAACACTTAAATTTTAGCAGTCAAGTGGGGATTTCCCACTAAACCACAATAAGCAAAAATGAAAAATGTTTCCCAACAACAACCATGGAGGGTACTTTGGCCGAGCCCATCTATTTTTAGATGTTCCAGCGGTTTAGGGAAGCCCATATTCTATTTTACAAGGACCTACTTCAAGGGGCGATCGGACACTTAGTAAGTGGTTGGTAACTGCGGTTATAACCACAAACGCCAAGGGGGTCAAGTCTCCGTTCAGTGAGTTATAACCACGCTTACTAACTGCTTACTAAGTACCCGATCGCCCCTTCAAGTAGGTAATTGTAAAATAGAAATATAGGCTTCCCTGGATGGAATAGAACCCATCTAAGCCATTGGAACGTCTAAAAATGGATGGGCTTGGTGGCGCACCCCCGACGAACAGGCGGAAGCTCGCTCCCCCAATCGGCCTCTGTAAATGGAAGGAGCTTCCATGGAATCGGCTGGGGGAGGGTAGGTCCTTTGGGCAAAATAGATGGGTTTCCCTGGCAGATGGAATATGTTTTTGAAGCCAAAAGGTGCTCTTGCGTTGATTTCAGCAAAACGGCGCAGCTCGGCCTTGCTTGTGCGCCTGCCATGCTTGCCAACATGTGGGAAACAAATCCATGGATGGAATCCTATGATCACTGGGATCAACCACCCCTACCAACTGGTGCGATTTCTTCTCCAATGGATCCCCGGGTACAGGACCTACATCATGGCTAAACCGCTCGTTTCACCCCCCGAATTGGCAAGCTCACATAGACAGGCAAATGAAGCAAACAAAATAGCTACAACCGAGTACAGCAAGCTCCATATCTTTCCGCCCTTCACAAAGTGGCAACCGGATGATGTTCAACAACATAACTTGGCTGGAACTAGGACCCCAGCAAAAAATATTGCTTGTTTGTTTGTTTGTTTGTTTGTTTGTTTGTTTGTTTGTTTGTTTGTTTGTTTGTTTGTTTGTTTGTTTGTTTGTTTGTTTGTTTGTTTGTTTTGGCCTGGTTAGTGGAAAACAAAGGGGACCCCAAAAAAGGAAAGAAAAAACAGGGGAAGATAATATCAATATATATATATACATATGAACAGGCCAAGGTCCTGGCAAACCACGCAGAAACCAAACTCCAACTTCCCTGTTCCAATTACCTTCCCTGTAATTGCTGGTTCCCATTCACCTTCCACAAGAACCAGGGCTTCAAATCGACCACAAATCCAAACCACCAAACTCCCAAAAAGATCCATCGACTGATACAGGTAGACTGGTGTATCATGCCGGTCCCTTACAACAAAATGTGCGTGGCATGTGCTTGTCTGTTGCTATTGCCCCCCGCCCAAAAAGTATTGCAGGTGGGTTGCCTGAGTCATCATCAACACCTGGTGTTAAAATGGTCTACCCGAAGGCACCCTTTTATGGTTGGGGTCCCTTAGCCTTCAGCCTTCATCTACCCGAATCGATTTTCAGCACGTGGCTCACCTCAACCATCCTCGTGGTTCTCCATAATTCCCATTCCATGGTTTCCCATGAATTTCACATTCATTCCTCAGTAATCATTAAATCCCTGGTTCATTCTTTCCCCATGGCTCCCCATTCATTCCCTAAATCCACATTCATTCCCCCATTCATTTCCTCCGGTCTCCCAATTCGCTGACAAGTCGCCAGGCTTTCTGCGGTTTCCAGCGCATAGGCCCCTTCACAAAGCGGTCCTCCCGGCGCATGACGCGCGCAGATACACCGCCGCCACGCCAGGGCTTGGTCGGCACCTTGCCGTACTCGGCCATCCACAAGTCGTCATCCTGGCGAAAACCGGTGGATGAGAAACCAAAATCCCTCCGCACCACGAAATGAAAGCCTGGTTGAAACCAGAACTTCTGCTGGTATTTACGGGGAATGATATCTAGGAAACCTGGTGAAAAGGCGCGAAAAAACCTGACACCTGAGTAGGTTCGCCGGAAAAAGTCACTAAACTTTTTGGCTTACCACAAAAACTGGTCTTCCCAAAAAGTCTAGGAACCCAGGAAGTGAAAAAGGTGACAACCATAGGTGTCCTTTTGGGGGAAACAAATGGCCCTGGTAGATGATTAAACCACCAGGCAAACCAGGGCCATCTATTTTTCTACCAAAACAACCAAAAGGACACCTATGGTGACAACACTCAGAAACAGCTAGTGAAAGGGCCGGGAAGCCCTGGCTACCCAAAACCCAAACAAAACTACTGAAATTGCTCCCAACGGGCAATCAAAAGGCATGGGAAGCCTGAAAACTCAACAAGGGGTCCGCGCGCGGATTAACCCGAAAGAGACCTGGTCCCCAAACCCAAAGGGCCAAAGAGACCATTTTGGCCAGTGTTTGCTCCTGACATCATCAGGATGCCCGCCTTGCCAAGAAGAGAGAACAACAATCAAACGAGTCAAAAGAGCTCCAGGATACCTCAAGTTGCATCACAGGATACCTCCAAGTTGGACTAAATCCAAGGGTTCACCCTTTGGAAGATCAACCTAGGTTCTACCTGGACGTGTGCTCGCAAGACGGAAAATTCCACTTCGCGCCCAACCCGGTGCTTTATCAACCAGTAGTCAAATCGGGTTTCATCATCCCTACTTCTGTCACTCGTGGATTTGGGTCCAATACCCCACTTCATGCTGTCCGGGTCTCCTCAAAAAGATACTCATCGTCCTCATCATCGGTGTAGTATCCATCCTCGAGGCTTCGATTTGCCCGGTGAAACCATGGCTTAAACCAATTGGGCACCATGGGAACCAAAAGGAAACCAAAAGGAAACCAACCACCTGACGGGGTCCCTGATGCTCGGGCCTACAAAATCTCACCACATGATGGCGTGACTTTGTTTGCTTTATACACCCCCGCAACCGCATTCTGATTTCGTGACTCACTTTCCGACCCTTGGTATGCCAACAAACAAACGCAACGTTGTTTGCAAGCCCCTACTTATGAACAGCACCTAAACACCTACAAACGTAACCACGTGGCAACAGCCGTAGTGTTTAAACCACCTGGGTAGTTAGATCCTACCTCAACTCGGGCAAAGGAAAATCTGAACAAAAGCAAAAGTCTCAAGCCTTAAGCCTCAGAAGACCAGCAAGCTGACTCAAAAACCAGCGGACTAGGGATGGAAATCATCCGCCTGCTAGCCCCCCCCCAGTTGGGGCTCTTAGGACCCTTCTCAGAAGGGTTCTTAGGGGTGGGCCCGCTGAAAAAAATATCCCTGGACTAAAACGGTCCTTGGACCCAAGTGACGAAATGAACTGAGGGAGCGAGTTGGGCGGACACCCCACCCCACCCGATTTGGTGGAGGGGGCGGGGCATTATTGTTGCCCGTCCCTGATGGGACCCTTTTCAGGGTACCCTCAAAAACAAAGACGCCAAGACTAAGCCAACGGAGGTTAAATGAGTTTAAACCAAGTTGAATTCGCCAGGAAGTAATTCCAGTTGGTACTGCTCCCTTTTTGCGTGCTTTGTTGGTGCCTGGACCCTCCAAACTACCCTGAAAAAATGGAAAATCACCTGGAGTTTGGCGGAAAAATCCGATCTTTCTGGGTAGTTTGAAGGTCCAAAGGTGTGCCTTTGAAGGTCCAAGCCCGGTCCGTGAAGGCGTTGCTCGCCACCGCCTTCCGCCACTGGATGGCCGGCAGCTCAGCCACCGCCGGGCTGGCCCTTGGGATTCAGCCCACACCACCCCACGTGGACCCACGTGGTTTCCCCTGAGGACAAACCTAAGGCGTTGTCCCAGTGGAGAGGTTAGAAGAAAAATCCCTTCTTTCAGTTTTGTCTATTTTAGTAGGGGGTTTCCCTCCCAACCAAAAAAGGCACTACTGGGGGACCGAGTTGTAATATGCCTTGTGTTCTTCGGCACTCAAAGATGAATGCTTGTAGGCTGTTGATCATGTAGTCCATCATTGATGGTTTGTCCGGAACCAAATTGGTCGGAAAACCGCAGGGCTTGGGTTGAGAGGGGGAAGTCTGGACCGGCCCCTAAAAAATTAGATAGGACTTTGGGGTGCTGTTGAATCAGATGTTTGTCACGATTGGAATCTACTAGTCTCGCTTCCTGCGTGGATTGGTCAGAAAAAATCCAAGCTGGTTGTTTACCTGTCTTCCCCAACAGGTTGAGTTCCAGGAACACAGGGACTGAGTCAATGCACGGCGTAATTTACCTGGTGGAGGGCAAATTTGAGGTCAGCCCGCCAGGTAGAAACAAGGATCCACTTCAAGTTGGTGTTGATGTCATTTTTTTTAAGCAAGGAAAAAGAGAAGAAGAAGAAGAAAAAAAACGGCCAGCCCCTAAAAAAAGAAGACACAAAAAACGCCAACCCAGGCCATCCACCAAAAAAACCGCCCAACCCGCCCGCTTTGCTCCGAGGCTCCAGCCCTCCACATCTGGCTGGGGGGCCTCCCAGGGCAAAGGCACCGGCAGGTAGGCCATCCAGAGCCAGAAGTGCAGAGACGTCAGCAGCTTCCCGTCCTCAACAAAATCCCATGGACTCCTCCATGTGTTTCTTTCGCAAACCAGGGAAAAAAAACGGGAAAACATTATATGGACTGAAAAAGGCTGCCCTCCCTTCGACTTAAACCCCGGAAACCCGCTGAAAGACTCCTCCGGTAGCTTCTTTCGCCCCCTAGAAACCTGGAAAAAATCATATATATATATATATAAAATACATGTCCAGTATCTAATGGAGGCTGCCCTCCGTTCGACCTAAACCCGGTTCCGCAGGAAAAATTGGGGTAGTCCAAAGAATCCCATGGAAGCCAGCGGCCTTCCTTCTGCCATGCACCAGGGATTTGGTTCTACCAGGGTAGGTGTCAAAAAAGGGGACCACGGAAAGTGCGTCTTTCCTTCTGGTGTCCCTTTAAACCGCCCCCCCCCAAAAAGGGGAACCTCAGCCTCCATTTGCTTCTTTCGCCCCCTGGGAGAACATACATAATAAAAATGCTTCCAGTAGTGAAATCGACACCCTTTAAAACCAAAAAGGGAAAATAATTAAGGAAAAGTCTTAAGCAAATGGAAGGACTCAAAGGCTGAATCAAACAAATGTCCATGAACCTCTGGTATCAAGCCTTACTTCCGCAGGGTTCATTTTGTCCAGGGTTTCTTAGGTCGCACGAAATTTGACTGGGCTTGGAACCAATATGGCTCGTTTTTTTTTTTTTTTTTTTTAACGTGAAATCGAAACTCAAGAACCGATGGGCTTCTTAGGGTTCTCTGGGCCCAGAAGTCGGGCTCTGGGGTCGGTTCCATGGGGCAGCTTGGGAACATCCGGAGACTTGGCCATGGGTCGAAACCATCGCACCCAAAATGTGAACATCCGATTCAATCCCCACTAACATAGGTTCTAAAATGGGTGGTGAATTCACCTACCAACCAAAATGGGATCCCATTGGTTTTGACCCACCGCCATGTGGTTTTGGGGGCTGCCCGGGGCTGTTGCGGATATGGGCTTATTTTCGGAGGCCCAGTTGCCACCAGTGACCCGAAAGGTTAGAACAAGACAATTGGATTGACAAAATTCTTAGCCTAAAAGGGCCACTGAACAACTGGAGAGGGGCCAAGCCAACCTGGGGTTTATTCATTCTCTTGAGGCTTGGTTCCCCTTCAACCTCCCGTTTTCCCAGCAGGTCAGCCGTTCTGAGACAAAAGGACATGCGAAAGAGAATGGGGAAGGTATGGCGAGAACCCTGGGTCTCAAAAAAAAACTTGGTCAACGTTCGACCCTAAACCTGTAGGATTTGGTCATCATTTTCGTTTGCTTCAGTCCCCTAATATATATATATATATATCCAGTAGTGATGACTTCCCTTCAAATTTACAAGGGAAAACGACAAATCTTCTGAACTGCAATGGAAGTGATTCTCCGTCTCCCCCCCCAAAAAAAACAATGAAAATGGGCTGCCATAAATGGAGATCTCCAGTTGGGTCACCAGTCGCTCCTTGGTTACTGGCGTTTCAACCAAAAAGCTAAAGCCCACTCAGATCCGCTACCAAATAGCCACAAAGACCAGTGCTGTCCGTTTTCAGATCCCCTGCTACAAGTGAAACTAACTTGTGGGTTAAATACGGACACCCAACCACGAAACCAACTTTCAACAACCCAAAAGAACCTAATTGACAGGATGCTTCCGAAGCGTCAAGAACAGGAGTGCTTTGGTTCCCTGTTACTTGCTGGTGCTCAGGGAATGACCTTCCGGGTGTTGGGAATGACTTGCTGGTGCTCAGCGACAGGGATGAGAAATGGAATGACCCCCAGATGGAGCAATAAAAACTTAAGGGACCGGATGGCTGGGTCCGAATGAGAAATGGAATGACCCCGAGATTAACCGAGAAACCATCCAACTGGTGGTTTCCTGTACTCAATCCCAAAACGGATCATCTCATTTCCCATTCCATCCACCTCTCGCGATCGCAAGTTTCTGGTGGCTTTTAAAGGTAGGCCCAAAAAAAACGTGATAGACCAGGCTTCCCAGGCAATTGATAGAACCGGCTTGCCCAGAAAAAAATAGAGAAAAAAAAGCCGAAGGGGAAAGGCCCCAAGAATGGGGTTCTCCACCCCCCCCCCAAAAAAAAAAGAAGAAAAAAGAGCAAAGCGACGGCGTCGGCCGAGGAAAAAAAAGGGTGCTCCTAGGGACCGATGCCCCCCGTCCGCTTCGATTCGCCCGATCCGCCCGATTCGCCCGATTCGCATCCTTCGCCTGGGCGGCCCGGAAGTCCCAGAGCCACTCGTAGGGGCTCTCCTCCACCAAACCGGTCGATTGGCCGGGGATTGGCCGGGGATTGGCCGGGAATTTGGTGGGGAGTTGGTGGAGGATTTTGCTATGCCGGGGGGGTTGGATGGGGGGTTGGATGGGGGGTTGGATGGGATATTGGCTTCTTCGCGTCCAGGTGGTTCCCTTGGCTACTAGGACCCTCAAACTAGCCTGTAAAAAATAAAAGGCAGATTGGCCAGGGATTGGCCAGGGATTGGCCAGGGATTTGGCGGGCTTTGGCGGGGATTTGGATGGGGGATTGGACGGGATTTGGTGGGGGATCTTTGGCGGACATGTTCGTTTTGGACTTTGGCGGGGATTTGGTGGGGATTTGGTGGGGATTTGGTGGGGATTTGGTGGGGATTTGGTGGGGATTTGGTGGGGATTTGGTGGGGATTTGGTGGGGATTTGGTGGGGATTTGGTGGGGATTTGGTGGGGATTTGGTGGGGATTTGGTGGGGATTTGGTGGGGATTTGGTTTGGTGGGGATTTGGTGGGGATTTGGTGGGGATTTGGTGGGGATTTGGTGGGGATTTGGTGGGGATTTGGTGGGGATTTGGTGGGGATTTGGTGGGGATTTGGTGGGGATTTGGTGGGGATTTGGTGGGGATTTGGTGGGGATTTGGTGGGGATTTGGTGAAACTAGCGGGAAGTTGGCCAATGTCCTCTAGTTCCTGGACCTGGTTCGTCTGATACAGCCACAAGAAGACCACGTGCCCGGAAAACAGGTCCAGAGCTTTAAACACGAGAAGACACATCCACTCGTTGTGGACCCATGCATAGAAAACCCCGAGTTTGTGGAAACGTGTTGGGTGTGGAAACCCCTTGTTGAGGTGAAACCCATGTTTGGTCATGATTTATATCAAGGTAACCCAGAGGGCAGCCACCGGTTCCAGCAGTTTCCCAATTCAAAGGGGCGGCCCAAGGATCCTGGGGGTGCATATGGACAACTTGGGCCTTCCTTACGACACCCCCACGAGGCCTTTGGGGCCTCAAATTTTATCAGCTTGTAGAGGGGATGCTTGGGGCAAGCCAAAAATCAAATCGTGGGGCTCCAACAACGATCAAAACTGGTCAGGATACGTCTAGACTTGTAAGATCATTGATTCTATTCAAGAAACGGTCATTAGTCACCTTCAAGGTCTCGAATATACAGGCCTCAACATAGAATTGGGGGTCTGAGTGTGGGTAACCCCCCCAAAACCAAAGTTGGTGATGCTTAGAGTAAGCTATTAGTTGTGATACAGCCCCGCCTGTGACACTAAAACTCAACCTGGCTCACAATCCAAAGGCTCGTCTTTGCTTTTTTGCCCCCGAGCTTTCGCGGCTTGATCGATCGTCCTCGGAGCTGCGAAGCCATGCCGCGAAGATTAATTCCTCATTGTCGTCCTGCGGACTCGGTGGGTTGAGTCATGCTGACCCCATATGTTCATCAACCCCGGCTAATTAATAGGAGGGTGTGCCTGGCTGAAATGATGGGGAACCGGATTCATCACTTTTGGAGGGGGCTCCACCCCCTATTAACAAACAGGGGTTTATTGATGCGGGGGTCCAATTATGAACTAAACTTCCTGGCTGTCCTTGACAATTTCTTTCGTCGAGCCTAAAAGGGGAGATCCCTGTGCGGGGCGCAAATCAAAACCGCAGCACCAAAACAAACACGAGACCAAGAAGATCCTAAACGCCCTGCTACAAGTCTGCTCAACTTTTTGTGCGTTAAATACAGAAAAACAAAAACCAACCACCTTTCACCAGATTACAAAAAGCCAAAAAAAAAGAAGGCGACGCTGACCTGGATGGCTGGTTCAAAGCACCAAGACTTGGGGGTACTGGCCACTTGAAGAGTGGGAATTGGGAGCTCAATGAATTTGATGAGGGCATGGACTTCAGGATTTGGGGCTGTCAATAAACATGTCCGACATTTCCTAGGAAACATGATGGGAAAATTTATGCTGGAAGGATGGCAAAATGTGACGGAGGTGAATTTTGAGATCTCTTAAGTTCATCTATCTTGAGGTTCGCTAAATATGGACCGAGATTGATGTCCCGCTTGTTCAGTGAATTCCGGGCCCCCTAAACCCCTTCGGCTGTTTGATGCGGGACTGCGGGACCCACCAAAAAACACCCGCCCATCCACCCAAACAAACTTTTGTTTGTCCTAAAATAGGGAACCCCTCCAAATGGTTGGTTTGACCTTTGATCTCCAAGGCAAGACCCAACCCAAAAGGGCTTCCCCCCTTCCCTCCAATGGGTTTTCCCAATTCAACCTACAGAAGGTCTGAACACCCGGGGGGGGTGCCAGGATTTGCCGAAGGATTCCAGAAGGATCTGAAGGGAGGGTTGATCAGGGAGCTTCTACACGAGTCGAATGGGACCCACGGAAAACGGTCTACCGTGTCTACGGGACATGTTGGAAATTTCAAGCCACCAAAAACAAGCAAGGATTCTTCCATTTGCTTAAGCCCGCTGGAAAGCATATAAATATTTCCAGGAGTGCAATTGATTCCCTTTCAAACCAACTGGGGAAAAAGAAGAAGAAGCAAAAAAAACATATATTCTGAACCGCAAATGGAAGGAGTTCCAAACGAATGATGGATTTGTGGCAGTGCGACGGGAAACCGAGGAATCCAACTGGCAAAGAAGAAACCAAAAAGGTAACCAACGTGTTGGTTGCTGTTGACCCCTCCGCAAAGAGTTCTTCACATTTTGTGGGTTCAATGCAAAGAAACCTATAACTTTGCAACCAACAAGTTGTTCAGTCCAAAGGTCCACAAAGAATGAGTCTGGATGGACAAATCCTCTTTGGTTTCCCTCACATGACAAAAAAAACTGGGTCATTCCCTACTGAGCACGAGCAAGAAAAGGAGACCCTTCTCCTTCTCTATGAAACCCAAAAGCAACCAAAAGGAAATTTTCGAAAGGGTTTCCAAATGACACAAATCCAGATGAGCGCTCATACGGGAAGGTTCCATGGTATCACATGATCAACCCATCATCTTGATGGTGCGATAGGCAGAGAATGAGGAATGGAATGACCCCGAGATCAACCATCCAACTGGTGGTTTCCTTTGCTCGGGAATGGTCAGGTTCATTCCATTTCTCATTCCCTACCTATCGCACCGGTCTGCACCGATCGCAAGTAATCCAGTTGAACCCTTTCTTCTCCCTTCTCCTTGTCTATTAAGGGGCCATCCCGTACAAACAAATCCATACCTCCCTTTCTCCCCCCCCCCCCCAAAAAAAAGAAGAAGAAAAAAACAAAACGAAAAGGGAAACCAACACAACGCCAAGAACACCCATCCCCATGGAAATCCCGCTTGTTTCCACCAAAAAGCTAAAGTCCAAAGGTCCGTTCCTAAACAGCCCTTCGCCCCACCCACACCCACACCCACCCCACCCCCACCACCCCCCAACCCCAACCCCACCCCCACCCCACCCCACCCCCACTCCACACCCCCCAACCCCCACCCCACATCCCCACCCCACCCCCCTCCTTCTCTATGAAGGGGCAGATGCACTCCACCGACGGCCCCCCGCAGGCGAAGCAGAAGTCGCAGCCACAGCGGCAGAAGACGTGGAGGCACCCCGCGTCCCGGCGCACCAGGGCCAGGCACTGCGGGCAGGGCTGGGACGCCTCCAACAGCCAGGCCTAGGCGGAGCTTCCGGAATCCTCCCCCCCCCCAAATATATATATATATATATAGACATGTGAACAAAACACAGGCAAAAAGATGCGTTGTTGTTGGCTGCTTGTTTTTGTTTTTGTTTTTGTTGAGGAAAAACAAAATACACGGAAAATGGAGGGAGGGGGAAGGAAAATCAAAAGAAAATCACGAAAAATAGTAGGGGGAAAGCACGAAACATGGGGGGGGGGGGGGGGAATCCAAAAAGAAAATGTTGAAAATGGGAGTGTGAATTCTGAGAGAACACTGGAAATAGGTGTGAGGGTACCCCTTTTTCTGCGTGGTTTTGAGGGGAAACCAACCACCAATTTTGGGGGGGGATCCCAAACAAGGGCACACCCATACGTAGGGGGTGCGTTCCCTGGACCCTTTGGTGGACATCATTTAGGATGGGTTGTGTCACCAACCATTTGGGATGGTAGTCTTGTTCCAGTTGCGCATGAGGAGTAGGACTTGCTCTGGTGTCTCCTCACAAATTGAGATATATTTACAGGGTGTCTCTCTCTCTCTCTCTCTTTATTATAGGAGGCTCGGTACTCTTTTGGGGTTGGTTTAAAGGGAAACCCCGCCCACCTTTGCCCCCCCCAAAAAAAAATAAGCTCTGGTGATATCCCCAACAGCAAGCGGTGCTCTTGTTAGTGCTCGCCGCATCCCTCGCAGAACCTCGTGGAACCCTCGTGGAACCCTCGTGGAACCCTGGTGGAACCCTCGTGGAACCTTACCTCAGGGCCGCCCCGGACCACCCCGCAGCCTATCTGGGCTGAGACCCCAAAGCTTCCAGCTGTTGGGGAAAAAAGGCAAAGAAATATGAAGAAGCAACCGGTAGTCCTTCATTGGTGTTTGGGAGAACTGGAGAATTGATTCCTGCTTCTTGCAGAGGGTAAATAGGAAGCCACCCAATGAACGCCATCCGAATCACACACACACACACCCTAAAAACAAAATGAAAAAAAGAAGAATAACAAACAAAAGCACAGTGCCAACGCTGCAAGGCCCTTACAGCAGCTCGTTTCCCAATCTGTTCCCACTTTTTTCTCAAACTTGTCCTAATTGTTTCCCAACTTTGTCCCCGACCTTGTTTCCCAACTTTGTCCAAAGCCTTTTCTAACTTTTCCCCAACATGTTCCCAACTTGTTCCCAACCTGTGCTCACAACTTTTCCCAACATTTCCCAACTTGTTCCCAACCTGTGTTCACAACGTTTCTCAATTTGTTCCCACAAGAAAGAGAGGCCGCAGCATGCCCGCATCAATGGATCAGTGCCCTGGTGATGAACCCAACTCCGGACAGTTCCTCAGTTCTGGTCGTACTCTCAACCTTCTTGCTCCCAGTTCGCGGACTGCATGCAGCCTTGAAGAATTCATACACTTCACAGAAAAATACCTCATTTCAAAAGTCCCGAATGGTCATTTAAAGACAAACCAAAACGAAGCAACAACAACACACGAAACCACCAACCAAACACCAACACAAAACCAACACAACACACCACCCACAAACACCAAACACCAACACAAAACAAACAACAACGAACCAACACAACACGCACCAACAAACCAACCGAACACCACCCAAGCACCCACCAAAACAAACCAACCAGACGTGTCTTTTTCTCTGCGTTTTTTTCCCCCGGCCCGCCTCGGAGGCGTCACGCTCCTTCGCTTCCAGCAGCTCCTGAAGCCTCTGCTGGTGGCACTCCGACCGCAGCTGCTCCTTGGATCGCGGGCTCAGATCGCATTCTGAGGCTTCAAATCGGGTTTTCGATGGGGTTGATCCACGCAGCTTATTTGGGCTCTCCCTGATATATTCGGGCTTCTCAAATGGTAGACATGGTAGTCATGGTAGTCCAATACTAGGCTTCCTTGTGTGGTTTCCTTTGATTGTGGGGAGTTGCTCAAAGCGAACATGCTTTCAAGCGAAACAAAGCAAGTCTGCAAGCCCAGAGCCTTTTCCGACCTCGCTCCTTGCGCTCACTGGTGGGCGCGCTGGTTTGTGCGGCGGTTGGGTGGGGTAGTGGGCGGGGTGGTGGATGGGGTGGTGGGCGAGTGGTTGGTGAGGTGGTTGGTGGGGTGGTGGGTGGGTAGTGGGCGAGGTGGTGGATGGGTGGTGGGGTGGGGTAGTGGGCGGGGTGGTGGATGGGGTGGTGGGCGGTGGTTGGTGGGGTGGTTGGTGGGGTGGTGGGGTGGGGTAGTGGACGGGGTGGTGGATGGGGTGGTGGGCGGTGGTTGGTGGGGTGGTTGGTGGGGTGGTAGGCGGGGTAGTGGGCGGGGTGGTGGATGGGGTGGTGGGCGGGGTGGTTGGTGGGGTGGTTGGTGTGGTGGCGGATGGGGTGGTGGGTGGGGTACTGGGCGGGGTGGTGGATGGGGTGGTGGGCGGGGTGGCTGGTGGGGTGGTTGGTGTGGTGGCGGATGGGGTGGTGGGGTGGAGTGGTTGGTGGGGTGGTGGACGGGGGTGGTGCATGGGGTGGTTGGCGGGGTGGTGCAAACAAAAATAGTTTCCTTCTGGCCTGAAAGCTTCCCTTCGCCACGGCGCGTAGCGGCCAAGCGCGTCTTCTTGAAGCTCGGAGCTTTCCAGCGCACGGTCCACGTCCAACCTCGGCTTACTTTCATCTCAGCTGCCCCACTATGTCTTTTTTGGAGGGCACGTTTTGTTGGGTGTGTTTCAAAAGGAAACTACTGGAAAAACCACAATTTCGGGGGTCTCCCATTTCATGACACACCCATTTGTGGTTTGGATTGGTGGGCACCCTTTGCACGTGTATCTTAGTGATCTCCCGGTTCCAGTGGTGTCGCAGGTTCAGAAAGGAAAACAAAGGAGAAAAAAAACACTTGACTGGGCTGCCCGTGTTCTGATCCCCTGCTACATGTATTGGATGGAAACCCAACCACTAAACCCTATAAAAGGCATTTGAACAGGTGGAGGTCCGCACTTGTGCCGCCTGGGATTGTCCCTTACCTCTGACTCAGTTGGCAAGCGGTGTTCTCGAGCCAGTCGGGTTTCAAATCCCGAGCTCCAATCCACCAATTCAATTGGGGGCTATCTGAAAAGGTTTCTTCACACTTCTCCAGCCAAAGGTTGAAACTGAAGCGAAATGATGTGAAGCGGACATGTTCAACCAGGCTAAAAAGTCAGCAATTCCACCTTTTGTTTACCACCAAAATGGTCCAAAACCAAAAGGGCTAAGTCCATGAAATCAAGGAGTGCGGAAGGTGAATTCCCCAAACATGTTCATCAAACACATATCTAGTATAATATGTTCCACCCAGAAGTCAAACGTGACAATCTACACCCAAACATGTCCGCAAAACAGCTTTGCCAGTGAAAGCTAAAGGCTATCCCCAACATGATTTCCCCAAGAAGGGGACGAGCTGAACATTTTTCAGGAGACGAGTCTAAGGCTGAAGCTTCAACACACAAAGGCTGTTGACCTACGATTAACTAACATTACAGGGCTTCCTATATTTCCCCTAACCAAAAAGAACTCACTTTCACATGGGGCAAAAGGTGATGTGTAACCCACCCACCCCCCCATCCCCAAAGGGAAGATAGCACTCCCACACCCACACCCACACCCCAAAAAAGAAGAAAGAACAAAAACCACTTATCCGCAGGGGCCAAAGGAAAGACGTCTAGGGCCAAACGCCACGCATCGCCAAACGCCAAGCGACGGTATCAAGCGGTAGTTGCAAGCCTCATCGCCTGGGCACCTGGCAGGCTTCGGGTCTTCGGGTCTGCGGGTCTTCGGCGGGTGGCAAGCGGCTTGGCTTGGATAAAGAAAAAATGGGTGGCAACCCCAAATGGGTTACCCTGGTAAATGGAAACATGGACTAAAATCAGCGGTTTTCTGGTGTTTTAATTCCTGATAAATGGACACATGGACTAAGACCAGCGGTTTTCTGTTGGCTTAATTTTGATCCATACCCTTACGTGCTGAGTGAATTGCTGAGAAAAGGTCCAAACTTCTTGTTTACCATTACACTTGCCGGTGCAAGGAATGAGGGAATGACCATGAACCGGTCCCCTCATTTGTAAGGAGACCCATTGGTCCATTCCCAAAAAGCACCGGTGATTCACCACTGAAACCAGCAAGTAAAAGGGTCTTCCCCAAAAGTGACTCAAGTCTGCCCTCCCCTAATCACAAGGTACACCTTCACAATATCTCCCAAAATGGTGGCCCCCTTGTGGTTAGTAGAACTGAAGGCAAGCCGCCAAACAAACGCGAACTGCGTTGGCGGACCACTATTTTGAGAAACTCCCATATTGGCTGTCCTCAGATCTCCTGCTAAAAGTGACTAACTTTTAGCAACTAACACCCTAAAAAACTATGGAACCGGACGGCTGGGAACCACCAAGCCATATTGTTTTTTTCTCGAACAAAGAAGCTACGGGTTTTGCCAGGTAGGCTCGAAAGTGTGGTTCGGAGCGGCTGGCTAGCGGGATACAACCTGGGCTTGTTTGAGTCTGTCTTTTTTAAGGTTGACCCCCCAAAAAAATTGTGCTTTCCCTTTGGTTTCCCTTTGCCACCAAAAAGGGTACCCTCAAAAAGAGACAGACCCATGTGCTGTTTACATGGAAGAGACCCCGATTCAGCACACTTCCTTCCCTGCCTCAGGCTAAACCGCCCCTCGTGCAGGATTTGGATCTCCGCGTGCCGGCGCAAGCAAGGCCAGCAAATGCCGTGGCCATCGCAGGGGCGGTTCTGCCAGCTGTGGTTGTGCCTCGGTTTTTGGGCGAGGTCGTTTGGTGTGCCATCGCTCGCGCTCTCACGTCTTACATGAACCATGGTCATTGGCTTCCCTAGGAATCCTTTCATGGTTTTCCTTTTGGCTTCCCTTTAAACTCACCAAAAAAGGAGGTACCCGCAAAAAAAAACACCAACAAACGGAGTACCCACAAAAAAAGCACCAAAACGGTGTGTCCCCTCAAAAAAGGACAGACCCACATTGTGGCAGAATAAATACCAGGTATTAAAATGGTCTGCCGAGAAGCAAGTCAGGAAATACAAAAGCTGCACCCATCACTTACGGCTGGGATTCTCCGTTACGAACCTTCATTTACTCGGGTTTTGATTTGTGGCTCGCATTGGTCAGCAAAAACTGGTGAACCCCCGCCCTATAGCCTGAGCTTCCTGGCTGAGCATTCTCACAACCGAACCCAAGAACACACTTGCGTGGCAAAAACAGCTTCTTGACCCACCCTTTCTTTTTCTCGGTAAAGGAAAAACAAATGGAACGCCAACAGAGGGATCCTTGCCGTTTTATATGTGCGCCTCAATTTGCCAATGTTGTGTGCTTGTTTTTCGAGTTGGTACCTGTTTTTGGTGGGTTTTACAGGGACGCCACACGGAAATAACCATCACTTTTTTGCGGGGTTCTCGTAGGAAGACATGACACACCCACATGTGGGGGTCTCTCAGCATTTGGAAACCGCAGGAGTCACCTCGTTCCCTACTTGCATCAACCAAACAATCCAACAAGAACAATTGTTCAGGTTTAAATTCCAAAACCACCAATCCAGACCACCAATTAGCGGTTACTCGATGCGCATACAGGTCTTCAAGTGCGCCGTGGTCACCCCCAGGGATTTGGACAACCACGTAGCTCGTGCAACCAAACAGTTGGGGATTGGAAGCCCGGGCTCGTGTGGCAGCTCAACAAATGGAATGTGAATGAGTCCTCGGTGTGTCAGCCCACCCCGGCAAGAATTCCCATTTGGTTTCCCCTCAACTTTGACACCAACGAACAAAAAGGGCCTCCCTTTTGAACTGGCTAAGTGCTAGGACTCTTTGCTTCACTCCAGAAGGTCTGACACCTAAAATGAGTTCTATCGCATGGTTCTAGGAGACCACACATTGTCCCGGTTTCGTGGCCAGTGTAAAGCAACCCTTCTCGAGGTCGAAAAGCCCAAGATTCAGCCATGAAGATGCTAATCATACTAAGTAGTGTTCCTCTCCTGCTTGATCCACATTCTATTTCTGAAAATAGAATTCAGAAATTATGTTCTAACAGTTGAGTAGATGGGTGTGCCTCTCTTTTTTTCGGAGTTGTTTACACTTTTGGGGTTCTAACCGGAAACCACAAGACACCACCACTTTGGGGGGTCCAATTCCGAGACACGCCCCAAATGACTCTCGCATGACCCAGTTGGAGCCCTTGTGGTTCGAAGGATGGGTTCAGAACCCTTTGCCGGAAGAACGGAGCCTTGCCACGGGCATCACAGAGTTTTTGTTCAGACTCGCTTCCGAACGAGTGGATTCGCAGCCAAAGCTCTTTCAAAGCACGGGGTGCATTTTCACTTGTTCGAAGTTTAAGCCCAACACGGTGTACTGACCCCGGACCCAAGTAGAATTCGAACCCGTCCAACAGAAAAAACGGCGGGCGGGGGGGGGCCTTCAAACAATGGTGGGAATCCCGCGCCGAACGGAATTGGACTCCCAGGTTAGCAAAGCCCAACCAAGTAGAACCCGTCGAAAAAAGTCAGGGGGGCCCTGAACCGTCACCAGTTCCCCCCCCCCGAGGCATCTCTCAAAATCCGTCAGCGAGGCGCATGGTCGCATACTGTACGGCTTCCGCGGGCTCTTCAAAGCAGATGGGGCAAACCATGGCGATGGAACTCGAGGCTGCGGAACGCTCCGTGTTTTCTTTCTCTTCAGGGGGCCAGGGCCGCGCTTGAGCCAACGTGGGGGGTCTGTTTGCGTTTTTTTGTTTACTTTTATTTGTTTAATTATTATTATCACGCAGAGGAGGTAAAACGCTGCAAAAATGGTTTCAAGAATGAAGGACTGAATAATGTTGTTGGTTTCTAATTTCAGACGCCCAGTGGCCAGGGGACAAAACGGGCGTCCTTTTTTGGTTGCTTTAAAGGGGAACCCGTACCAAAAAAAAGGAAAAGGAAGCAACCCACTGGGCCCCCCCACAGAAAAAGGCTTCGGTGTTCCGTTGGCCTCCCTTTGATCCCCGACTAAAGGGGTGTATCCCTCAAGTTAAGGATACGGACTCCCCCCCCCAAAAAAAATAATAATGGAGCCTTCGGTTTTCCCTTGGTCTCCCTTGTAAACAAACACAAAGGGGTTCCAATTGTTTTTGGCTACCCAAGCACAGGGTTCAAACCGCCAAGCCACTCGTTTGGAGGAGCCTCTCTTTTGGAAACGGTTCATTCCCAAAACCCGGACTCTGGCATCCCCTATCGCACCAGCAAGACAAGCGACAAAGCCCGAACCGGAACTCACAAGTTCGCAGTCCCTTGAAAATGGGCTTTGGCCCGGAAAGTGACAAAAACATGGAAAAGAAACCCCAACAAGCGACGTTAACAAACATGAAAAACTTGAAACGGAACTACGGAACTCAGGGACAAGAGGACTGAGACGCATCTCCAGCCCCCCCACCCCCACTCCTTCGGCTCGCTCGCTCTCGCGGCTCGCTCGCCACTCGAATCGAATCGATCGCCTTCTCCACCGTGAGGCATGCCCGCGCCAGCGCCGCCAGGCCGCCGGGCCTCGCTGAGACGCCGGTCGCTGGGAGACTTGAAGGAACCGATCCTCTGATCTTGGATCTCCCCCTAACTTAAGGGCCTTGGGGTACTTATTGGGAAACCACCATGGCTATACACCACTTAGACTTACAACTAGTTGGCTGTCCGTTTGAAATGATCTGCCAAAAGTTGTCTCAACTAGTGGGTGAAGTACGGAAACCCAACCACACAACCAACGAAGAGCATAACAGCGGGACCGGATGGCCGGCCTTGGGGACCCAAGAATTACCCGCGGCTTGCCAGGAAGCTCTCAGGAGGTTTCGTTTTTGGGTGGGAGCAGCTTTTGTGTCTTTGCGGCTTGCCAAGTGCACTGAGGGCGCGGCGCTTTGAGGAGGGGGGGGTTTGGTGGGAGTACCTCCCAGTTTGGAGAAGGTCCCTAGCTTTCTATCCCTAGCTCCGGGGCTTTGACACAGGGTGCCAAAGGCCATTTCCCTTTTTGGGTTGCCTGAAGCGGCGATCGGAGCGTCAATGAAAACCACTGATTCATCAACTTTTGATTTGGGAAATCCAGTGACCCCTCTTGAAGTTGTGAACACCTGGAAGTGTCCGAATTTTGGGACTCGGACCCGCAAGATGGCTTTGGTCTTCCCTCGGTTTTCCTTTTGGCCAAAAGACGCGTTGAGGAAAGCCCGCTCTCCTCCAATTTGCTGAAGTCCCTGGAAAAGAATGAGAAAATACGTCCATTCATGACATAGATTCCCTTTGAAACCAACATGGGGACATAAAAACCAAGTCGTTTCAGCTGGCAGCCTTTCAAAAGGTTGCCTCTCCAGGTTCCTAAACGTCCTCAGATCCCCTGCCAAAAGGTTCCTAACTTTCAGTGGTTTAAATGGAAACCCAACCACTCAGCAACTAGGTAGGGAGGTTAGAAATAAGGGTAAACACCAACTTTTTCCTGTCATTAGTAGGGGAACCCTCCCAACCCAAAAAAGGGGGTGAGAAAGGGCACCTAGCCGGACCTAGAAGCCGTACGAGCTGAACACCTAAAGGAAGCGGACGGGGACCCGAGCGCCAACCGGTGCTCGCTCGCTTCTGGGGGCCCGCGCGGCCCGGTCTCCCCGATCACAGACTTCCAGCTGCGGATCACCTTCCGGAACGAGTGAAGCGGGAGATGGAAAATCCGCTGGGTCGCACTTTGAGGCTCATGAAAGAGGGGATGGCTGGGAACCACCAAGTAAATATTCTAGGGGACGCTTTCCCGTTCTTTCCAGGGATCCTTCTTTCCAGAAAACCATCAGAACCCCAGGGGAAACGGATCTGGTTTTTGAAAAGAACGATGGTTGAAAAGAATGGACAAGGAATCAACCCCTAGAAATATATGGGTGTGTATGACTTTTTGAGGGCGCCTTTGTGGTTGTGAGCCAAAAATACAAAAAAGGTAACCAACATGGGTTACCCTGGGAAGTGGAAGCAAGGACCAAACCTGGGGTAGCGTGGTTTCATGTTGATCCGTAACAAGAAAACAACTCTTGGTTGCTGTTGGGCAGCGGATCTTTGGACTTTAAGATGTTGGTTGAAATCAAGTTGGGTTTCCAGATTAAACCCACACAAAGTTGAAACGCTTCTTGCAGGAGGTCAACAGCAACCAAAAACTGGGTTACGTGTTGAGCTTCTTTAAATGTGGGTGTGTCTTTCTTTGAGGCCTCCCAAAATGGGTTGGGCTTTAAAGGAAAACTGGAAACCCATGGATTTTGGGGTCCCCCTATTCTGTTACACCCAAAAAAGAATCAAACATGCAAACATGTTTGGTTGGGCAAAAGCTAACGACTGTGGATGAGCACAAATTACTTCGCACCAGTTGGTGCTTGAAGTCAGTAAGGCTTCCTAGCTCAGGGGGCCTCCCCTCTTCCGAAACCTTGTAGGCCATCAAAACTCTTTCAGGTCACGGTCTGGCCTCTGAAACAGAAGGAGGGAAAGGGTCGTCCTCCAACCAAAAAGTCCAACGATGGCTCCCTCAAAGGAATCCTTATCATTGTCTAACACCCTTATAGAGGGTGATGCTCGTCCCTACCTACCAAGCCCAGCATGGTGGTTTCAGCTTGGGCACGTGTGGTGCTTTTGTCTTTACGAGGAACTCTTACAATGCTTGGCTTGAGGAACTCTTGCCATGGGCCCCGCATCACAGTCCTTTGTAGGGCCTTCAAGGCTCCTAGTGGTACCAGGTGCTGAACCCAAAAGGCTCTGGCCAGGTGTGGGGATCGCCAAAAAATTCGAGGTGCGGTGTGGCTTTCCTCTGGGGAGAAATCACACAAAACTGTGGCTCCTCAGCCTCCGGAGGTAATTGCGCTTGCGCGAAGCCAGAGGGGTACACCTTCAACGAAGGCCTCAAAAAGTCCTGTGACGTGGAAAAGGGAAGCTTTTTGGGGTTGACCGCGCTTAGAGGGACAAAAAGAGATGCCACAGAACCACTGAAGAGGAAAACATGACATTCCATTGGTCGTCAAATGGTCTGGCGCGCGCTTTCTAACGAAGGTAACCCTAGTTACATGGTTACGCTGACACGGGTGTGTTGGTTTTGGAGGGTACCCTGTTTGGGATGGCTTTCAAGGGCCGCGGGAAAAACCCACAATTTTCGGGGGTTCACCAGTTTAAGACAAACCCACATGGGTATGAAATTAGGGACCCTTTGGACATCAGTTGGGGGAAACAAATGGCCACCAATCACTTTTCAGGGGGCTCCAATCCTGAAAATTCACCCGTGGGCCACATGGGTTTACAGGGAGTTCACCTTAACCCGGCCAGGCCTAGCCTTCGTTCGCCCGGCGGGCCCCGCCTTCGCGCTGTCCCCGCTGTTCAGGGTCTTCCTGCGAAGATACACGTTTGGACCCCCCGCCATAAACTACCTCTAGGGCTGTGACATATGCATGTGTATAGGGCAAAAAGGCATAAAACACTGGGAAAACACTGCAAGCTAACCAAACCAGAGTCCAAGGGGGGGGTGCCATAAATATATATATATATATATGTATAGGCCTTGCTATGATACTGGTTACACCAGCTAGTAGAGCCACCAATGATATAAAATGGTCAAAAGGGGTTTTGGGCACCGCTCTTCACGTTTAAACACCCATCTGCTTGAATTTTACACCTCCTTCCGGGGGGGCAAGTTAGGAAGAAGGGAGGTTCCTACTTTGAGACCCACTTGAGGTCTGCTATAGGCTGCCTTTGGCTTGGGGGTCCCAAGAAGCTTGGGGGGAAGTACAAGCAGAGCTTGCTGGGCTGGGAAAGAGTCAGTGTCAGGCTAAAGGATACACTCGGCATATTGATTTGCGCAAGTCTTAAGGGGGATTTGACCAGGGAACGAATCCCAGCAGATTTGACTTGCACAATCCACAAGCAAATTGCACTGTTTCTTGCTTCTCTCCGAAAAAAGAAGCTGGGTTAGTTTCAGATAGTCGGGCAACTGTCATTATCCGAAAGTTCCCAAACTCATGTTCAGAGCGGTCCGAAACAGGGTACCTCCAACACGGTCCCGGTGCACAACTCACCCAACCACCCAAACATTTGGCTATTTTTCAGGGTCCCCGGACAATGGATAACAGCATAGGGGTCTGACTTTTTTGGGGGGACCCCCATGTTTGATGCTTTTAAAGGGACGCCACAGGAAAACCTTCCCATTTCATGGGTCACCTAAAACTCGCTTCCTGAGTGGATTGGTTATTTTGATTGCCACAAAAATGGTCTTCCCAAAAAGTGACTAAAGTCCAAGAACTCAGGAAGCAAAACAAAAGCACGCACCCATATGAGTGTGTGTGTGTGTGTCTCATGGTTTAACTAACCCAGGAGCCGTTTGCCGCCAAATCGGCCGGAACATGCCACTGCAACCAGCGGCATGCAACCTCGCCCTTGTTCCTGAGCTGTCCATTTTCTGACCCGCCAAAAGTGCCAAGCTTGTGGGGAAAATGGACACCCCCCCACTAGACCAACTAAGAGCCTAAAAACCCCAAGGAACCGGATGGCTGGGAACCACCAAGGTTCGTGATCCCTCTGGTTAAAACGCGCGGCTGACATTTCGAAAGAAAGCAATGCGGCACCCAGCTAAGCACGGTAGGTTGTGCAGCCCCAATCCCAT